ATGAATGATTATTAGTGCAAAGTACACTACAGGCATGTTTATAAAAATCAATTACATTTCACAATGATTTCTAAATTATCCCCACAGAATTAAAAACTATTCTAGGATTTTAATGGATAAAAACTCATTTCATTGCTTAATAAAAATGAAAATAAAATCCATTAAGCTCCTGAGTCCCGCTGAGTGTTTTGGCGAGAGCCTGTAGGCGATTAGTAATGACTCAAGTGTGGAAGAAGGGAAATCATATGCTGGAAAGGGCCCTTTCAAGACCTGAATCTCAACCATGCTCACATCACATCTCACTGACTTCTTGTCTTCCATATGGGAGAGAATTAGTCAGGATTCTCTGGTGTATTTGCACGCACTCTAGAAAGCTGTGAGGCATGTGCCCTATGTTGCAGAGAAAGGGGTGTGGGATTGGGAAGAGCTTAAGACGGCTTTACTTCCTGTCAGTTGAGACATACCTCCACGCCTGGGCCTGCCTGAAAGGCTGGTGGCCCAAGATCTGCACACAGTCCTTCCCACAGACCCAGAAAATGGTGCCGGGGCTTAAGTTCTGTGCTTTAGTGTGAGAGGAGAAAAATCTCACAAGAAGCCTTCTCACCTGGAACCCTCTGGCTCATGCTCTGGGTGTTCAGAACTCTGAAACGTTCATGCTCGGTTTTCCCAGCCTGCTTCCAAGTTCCTAGAACTGGCTACTCTTCCAGGCCAAGCTTGATTGCTGCATGCTGGCCTAGGTGGAGGGGCCCGACGGGCATTGCTCTGAAAAGCCTCGTGTTTGCTGTGATGTCCACAAATTTAAGAATGTTCATGAGAGTCTTTAAATTATAGTGAACAGCAGTGAAGCTGTTGTTGTTTGTTTGTTTGTTTGTTTTTAAAAAAAGACAGGCCATGAAGGGGGGTAAGTGGGGGTGCTCTTGCCCCTGTCTGTGACGTCAGAACTGGACTGGCTAACAGAAAATCTGGTGCACAAGCACTTGAATAGACTCCTAGGTAGAACACTGTGGTGGTATTGTGTTCCCCGAAATATTGTGCACACTAATAAACTTATCTGGGGTCAGAGAACAGAACAGCCACAATATTAAACATAGAGGATAGGCAGTGGTAGCACACGCCTTTAATCCTAGCATTCCAGAGGCAGAGATCTACCTGAATCTCTGTGTGTTCAAGGATACAACCAAGCATGGTGACTCACGCCTTTAATCCCAGAAAGTGAGCCTTTAATCCCAGGGAGTAATGGCAGAAAGCAGAAAGGTACATAAGGCGTGAAGACCAGAAACTAGAAGCATTTGGCTGGTTAAGCTTTCAGGCTTTGGAGCAGCACAGTTCAGCTGAGATTCATTCTGGATGAGGACTCAGAGGTTTACAGTCTGAGGAAACAGGATCAGCTGAGGAACTGGCGAGGTGAGGTAGCTGTGGCTTGTTCTGCTTCTCTGATCTTCCAGCATTCACCTCAATAACTGGCCTTAGGTTTGACTTAATTAATAAGACCTTTTAAGAGTCCTGTTACAGAACAGGTTTTGAAGGAAGAAGTATGGAAGAGAAGGCTAACAGGACAATGGTTCCTCGTTCTCCAGCTAGAGGAATGTGTGAGAGAACTGCATAGGATCTGCCCTTTAAATTTATCATTCATCAATTGGCAAGATGGCTCCACCAAGTCCAATAACTGAGTTTCATCACTAGTACCCACATGGGAAATGGTCCCCTGAGCCCCATGTGCGTATTGCATCTGTACACACACGTGTGTATGTATATGTGTGTGTTGGGGGGTGATGAAAATGTAATTAAAATATTTTTGAAGGCTGGGGGTACAACCTGTGGTAGAGTGTTTGCCTAGCATGTATGAGGACCTGGGTTTGGTTTCCAGCACCAAAAATGTTTTTAGCACTGAGGAGACATAGGCGGGTAGATGTCTGTGAGTTCAAGACTAGCCTGGTCTATACAGCAAGTTCTAGGACAGCAAGGACTACATAGTGAGACCCTGTCTTGAGATATATATATATATATATATATATATATATATATATATATATATATAGAGAGAGAGAGAGAGAGAGAGAGAGAGAGAGAGAGAGAGAGAGATCATTCATTGAAATTGGACAGATGACTTAGCAGGTAAGAGCACTGGCTGCTCTTGCAGAGGACCTGAGTTTGGTTCCTAGCACGTGTCAGGTCACAAGCATCTGCAACTCCAGTTCCAGGGGATCTGATGCCCTCCTCTAGCTCCCCAGGGCACCAGACATGCACATGGTACACATATATACATGCAGACAAATTCTCATATACATAATAAAATAAATCTTTGAAAATTTACCATCTCTAATTCTAAAACTTATTGAATGACATTTTATTTGACATAGGAAATGTTCCCGGAACTATCTGAAGTTTCTTGGACTTTTACATATAATTCAACTTCCTGGGGATAGCTTCTAATGGAACATGAGATGACTAACCATGTAACCATGTAAGATGGCAAAATGAGGCTGCTAGATACTCTGGAAGCAATGCTAAGGACTAAGAATGTGTCTTTCTCTTTGTTCCTTTGAACTTTCACTAATATGCTCAAAGTGTCTGCCGCGGATCTGAGGATAGCTCTCGGCTCCCTTGCCTGAGGACTCACCTTGCAGATCTAAGAGGTCATTGTTTGGGCTCAGTTGATAGCAGCTGAAATAGGAGAAGGCTGAAAGCAGAGTCATTCTCAGAGGCCGTGGGATGCTAGCAGAGGCATGGAGAGCAGTGGATTTCTGCAGGTCACCAAACCGAAGTTTAGGAAGATCCAGAAATGAGACAGAAGGAACTCATACAGCAGGAGCTCCCTCCATAGTTATGCCCTCTGTAGACCCTGCGAATCTATGTACAGCATCTTATCTCACTTCTGGGTTTTTGAGATAGGGTTTCACTATATAATCCAGGCTGGCCTGGAATTCACTATGTAGCCCAGGATAGCCTCAAACTCTCAGTTCTCCTGCTCACCCTCCTAAGGCCCAGTATTGTGGGTATTTACCAGTTCTCCTGTGTTACTGATTTTGTTTGGTTTTTGGAGATAGGGTCTCTTGTAGCTCAGGCTAGCCTTGAACTCCTGATCATCCTGCCTGATGATCCATACTCCCTGAAAAATGTTAGAATCACAGTTGTGTACCCCCATATCCAGCACAACTACTGATTTTTTTTTTAAAGATTTCTTTATTTTACTTTATCTGCCTATATGTATATCTGTGCACTACACATCTGTGTGTTGCCCTCAGGGGCCAGAAGAAGGTATCAGATAACCTGGAACTGCAAACAGTTTTGAGCTACCATGTGGGTGCTGGGAATCAAATCTGGGTCCTCTGAAAGAGTAGCAAGTGCTCTTAGCTGCTGGGCCATCTCTCCAGGCCCTCTTTCACTCTTTCTTTAGAAAAAGAATTCACATGTGCAAAACTCATGGTTCAGAGATGTGCAAGTCTACAGATTAAGTATATCCACAAAGTTGTGTAACTGCAATTACTATGTCTAATTCTGGAAAATGTATCATCTCATAAAAAAAATCCTGTTATCGCTAAGCCTTCCCCGTCCATCCCCCCATCTCCTCTCAGCCACTGGGCCATGCTTCTATTTTCTGTCCCCAGGCATTTCTCAAATCTGGATCTCTTCTATAAGTGGCATCATACAGCATGCATCCTTCTGTGCTTTGCATGCTCAGCATTGTGGTGGAAGTCAGCTCTTCTTCATTATAGCCCATGATATTCCACTGGATGGATACACTTCATCTCTAATCTATCAACTGATGGATATTTGGACTGTTGCCATAGTACCACTGTCATGAATATGCTACTATGAATATTCATATGGGTTTGTGTGAGAATATGTTTTTAATTATCCTGGTTATACGCCTACCACTGAGATTTCTGGGTCATATTTATAGCTTTTTGTGTTTTATTTTATTTTGATACTTTGAGGTAGGGTCTCTGACAGCTCAACCTGGCTTTGAATTTACTGTGCAGATTAACCTACTACTTTTGCTCTGCTAAATGGACATGTTGTCAAAATATTTTTTTTTTTTATACAGGGTTTCCCTCTGTAACCCTGACAGTCTGGGAACTAGCTCTGTAGACCAGGCTGGCCTTGAACTCAGAGATCTACTAGCCTGTCTCCAGCATGCTGGGATTAAAGGTGTGTGTCACCACCACCCAACGATGAGTGCTGCTCTCAACTGTAGCTAGAGAAGCCTCTTTCTCACTGGGTAGCAATGCAGAACCTCATCTCTGGTTCAAGTGCTGAGAATAAGTGACTACAGAGTGTGCTTAGTCCTAAATGACATGTTTTCATCAGTGCTCCCAAGGCTCGGGGAACATTGTAGAAGAGAGACTAGAAAAAGAAAGACAGACAGACGGAGGGAGAGAGAGGGGGGAGAGAAAGAGAGAGAGAAAAAAAACAAAACAAAAATCCATAAAAGCTGGAGGATGAGCAAGAGCACTGTGAAACCCCATCTTCTGAACATGAGCGACCACTGTCCTCATGGACTTGCCCAAGCTATGGTTAGCCGCACAAGACCTGCACAGGGTCAAGCCAGCAGGATCGGTCAACATTCTAGCAGGTTGCACTAACTGGACTCTCTGCAGGTGACGGGGAGGACATGAGAATGGGAAGCAAGGAGTCAGGGGGATATCCAGGAGGAGTTGGAGATGTAGGGGGTAGGTATGATCAAGACACACTGTAGAGATGTAGGAAATCAACAAAGAATAAGTCAAAGACAATCTAAGAAAAAAAAAAAAAGAGAGAATCCTTCAAAACTCCTGAATTGAAAAAAAGAATGAGGAAATAAGCTAAGTGTGGTAGTGCACACCTTTAACCCTAGTATTTGGTAAACAGAGGCAAGAGGATCACCACAAAGCCAGCCTAGCCAAATTGGCAAGTTTTGAGTCAGCTGGAACCCGTATCTAAAACAAAACAAACAAAAACAAGGAAAATAATAAATAAATTTAATAAGTGGGAAAACATAAGCCACATACTGGTTTTTAAAAATGTATATTATATTTTTTTATTTTTATCCATAGAAACAGCTGACCTGATTATATATCAAGTAGCTCGAAGTAAAGCGTTAAGTAATGCCTACCATTTAGCATTAGGTTATTTCAAGAAAAGAACCCAGTACTCTTTGGGGGAGAGTTTTCTCCCCCGAGACTCACACCATTTGTAGACACGGCTACCATCTGAAGAACAGAGTGCATCCTTTGCAATGTGCCGCGCTGATAAATTATGCCATGAAGACAGACGTGGAGTACATTTTTCACTTTGGTAAACTGTTGTAACTTGTGTTTCTCACTTTTTCTGAGTGTCGCCATTGCTTCTGCTCAGTAGGTTTTTCCAGTTCTCTCTCCCCAAGCCTTTCTTGTTTATTCACTTTTGACCCCCTGACTTTCTGAATCACCATTTCACCATTTGGGACTGTTTTCAAACTAATGCATTTCACACATACGGTTCAGGACTTCATCCATCAGGAGCGATCCACGAGAGTCAGTAAAAAACCGTCTCTCTGATTTGTTAATGCGTGTCTGAAAAAGATAGAAAGTGCCAGATGAGTGCAAAAATAACTTGAAACAGAAGGCTGGGGAGCAGGGAGGGGAGAAATACACATAATAACTAGTTTGTGGTTCTTTCCCTCATAAAGCAACCCACATGTTGCTGCCTGCAATGACCCTGCTGGTGCCGGCATTCAACACCCATCACAGGGGTTTCAGGCCATCAGCTCCCACGATTCCTACCTGTCTGTCTGTCTGGGTTCATGCCTGTCATACCTGCAGCATGTTCCTTTCCTGGCAACTATGCCAGAAATGTCATAGCTTTTTTTTTTCTCTCTCTCTTTTCTAATCACAAGTCCTTGGGAAAATATTGTGGACACTGTCTAAATGACTCTATTAATTTTTCAAAAGAGTTCACTGAAACCCATGGGGCCCACAACTGTGATTTTCATTTGTGGCCCTGGGTGATTTGTCTGAACACTGAGCTTCTAAAGAGGCAGAAAGGGCTCACTGCATACAGCGTGAAGGACACTAGATCTGGGGAGCATTTGGGCTGCATAGAGAACACTGTACATGCTGCTCAGCAGAGTTAAGAATAGCGATACAGTCTATAGTTTTCTCAGTTCAATTTAGCAGCTATTACTAGAATAGCATCGTTCTGCTTTGGAGGAGGCACAAGAAAAACTCGTCTCGAGAAGCAGAGAGAAATGGGCCCACGACAGAGTTCTGGAGACGTGGACTCATACCGCGGTGGTGTGAACCGTGCACACGAGTGACTAGAAATAAAGAACATCACTGTGGTAAAGTAACCAGGCAGGACTTCACTGTGAGGTTAACACTAAGCAGATCATAGAGTATCCACAGTCCAGTGAAGTCCAGACGACTCACCTTTGAGCTGAAGAGGAAGACTGCCAAAGGATAGAAAGCTAAAAGCTCCGAAGGGTGGTCAGTCATGTGACTCATTCTGGCTAACCAGTCAGTGGAGGTCAGCTGGGCACTCAGTGTAAAGAGAGTCACTCTCATGGCCAGCTGTGACTTGCCCTCATGTCTGCATTGAAATTTTTCTCTGAACGTGCAGCCATCTCCAATGTGAAGGAAAGACTGGACGCAAGTACAGCGCTCTTCCTTACACCTCCGGGTCTTCTTCTTTCATTTGGAGTGAGGGTATTGCTAACTGGTAGTGATGGGTCCACTGCATGAACTCTTGATTATTTGTTCCTAAATAATACAGTCCCCAGATTTCTATCCTATTAGATAGTGTAAGTAATCTAGAGATGACTCAAAGAATACTGGAGTATAAGCTTAAGTAATATGCAAATTCTATACTATCTTAGACAAGAGATGTGAGCACCCCCAGATTTGGGTCCTGGAACTGGTTCTTCACAGATGTCCAGGAATGGCTGTATTTGGTAAGGCATATTTTCTTTTTTAAATAAAAATTCACACGATCGTAGAATTGTTTCATAAGAAAGTGATTTATAGCTTGCAAATTTATTCGCTTGAAGAAAAATGCTTAAATAACTATTTCATAATTTGTAGCTAAAAGTACACTTCTTGATCTTCAGCCATAGTTGACGTGTTAAGCATCCCTGTCTCAGACCCTCACACCACCCTCTCTGCGTGGCCACAGATTTAGGTCCAGCTGAGCTCTCAAAGGACACACACATTTACAATGTCATTTACTTTCTTTTCACTTCTCTTCCAACCCTATAGCATAATCAATCTTTGCTAGTACTCTTTTTTTATATTTACAAGACTGTTGTACCCACTCCAAAAATCTAAGCTTTCAGAGGACCTTCTGGATGCCATGAAATAAAGATGGTTGAAAATCCATCATTCCCAGCCCCTTAAGAACTGTGTTTCTGCCAACTTCAGCAACTGCCAGTGGAGTAATTGGGAAAGAATAAATATAGCAAATCTTTTCCTTTCTGAACAGGGTCTCTGTGTGTCCCAGCCTGGCCTCGAACTCACAGCTATCCTGCATTAACCCCCCACATACTGGGATTCTAGGCATGTGGCACCAGATGCAGCTAGGGAGGCTTGTTTTGAAGGATGGTAACTTTTGGTCAAGAAACCACAGATAGGAAGACAGTGTCGAAGCTAATGGATCCTGTCACTGCTTGATCCACAAAAACCTCTTGGGGCTCCTCAAAAATGAACAAGATATCCGAGAGGCATCCTCGGAACTCCTGACCACCAGGCTGGAGAGATGGCTCAGCAGTCAAGGGCACTGACTTGTCTTCCACAGGACTGACTGGATTCGATTCCAGCCCCCACATGGCAGCTTGTAACCATCTATAACTCCAGTCCTAGCAAATCCCATGTTCTCTTCTGGCTTCTGTGGGCACCAGGCTCGTACATGGTGGACAGACAGACATGAAAGCAAAATACGCATACATGTAAAATAATAGAAATAATAAATAAAAAATAAATAAAAAGAGAAGAAATCCTGGCCCAGTGGATCATGGAAAAAAAAAAAAAAACAGGAATTCCTGTTTTTAAATCTTCCCAAGTGTCATACTCAGTCAGATCATACTAAGCTAATCTAATACTTCTCCAACTGTGAACACAAAGCAGCTGGGGGCCGTGTTAAGATACGGATCCTGTCTCAATAGACCTCAGGCTGTACTGAGACCCTGCTTCTTTAACAAGCTCCCAGGGGAGGCCCATGGCTACAGTCTCTGAACCACGTTCTGAGTGATATGAAGGTTTAAGTTACCCGCCCCCCCCCCCCATTCCCCATGCTCTTGTACCACAGATAAGAAAATGGAGACTGAGGGGTTAGATACGCTGTCCATTTCATCTTGGCATGCAGAGGCGACACTGTGACCAGCATCCATGTGCTCCAATGCTCACACAGAGCTGCTCTGTGATGTTGTCCCCTTGACCTGCTGGTAAGAAGGACTGGAGGAGAGGAAGCTCCTATGGGTCACTCCCCTTGTGTGACGGACCATCAGTAGTCCAGGGTTTCAGTCTCTATTTCTCTTTAACCTTTCTTTCCCAGTCCTATCTGGTCAGTGATGGGCTGGTAAATGCTCTATCCCTGTTCACTGAAGAAAAAACATCCTGCTTCGTAACAGTTGTTTTCTGTGAAACATCCTGCTTCGTAACAGTTGCTTTCTGTGGAGTGGATATTCCTGCTGTGACCCATTTCCAGCTACAGACACTATGATTTGTTTTGCTTTGTTTGATTTTTTTTGGGGGGGGGGCACAGTCTGCTCTTGTGAACTGGTAGAGGCCAGGACACTGCCACCCCACCCCACCCCCACCTGCCACCACCCCAATTACTGTGCCTAGCTGTCTTCTGACCCCAAGGAACTGAAGCCTAAAATCAGAGCACTAGCCATGATGCCGGCTAGGCTGTAAGACACGCTGTCCATTTGGAAGAAATAACAGTACCGCATTTTCAGCAAGCCGCTCTCTGGTGTAACTGGTAAGAGGCACAGGTTACCTGTGTCTTAGGGAAGCTAATAGGAAGGAAGAAAGGTCATGGGTAAAGTTTCTGATGAAGCTGAAAACAAGCAAAGAAAAAAAAAAAACTCAACTGACTAATCCCAAAGAGAACAAGTATAGATTGATGCAGCCAATACATAACCAAAAGCATTGGAGCAATTTGCTCATTTCGTCAACAGTATTGAGTGAGAGTCTCCCGAGCTAGGTTCTGACAGCAAAGATACTGATCTTTTGTGATCTCTCTCCCCTCTCTTCCCCTCCTACCCTCCCCTCCCTCTCCTTATTCTCCCCTCCCTCTTCCTCTCTCTCTCTCCCTCTCCTGCCCCCTCCTGCCTCTCTCTCCCTGTGTGTGTGTGTGTGTGTGTGTGTGTGTGTGTGTGTGTGTGTGTGTGTATGTTTTCCTCTTCCTTGTACTAGGCTACACCTTCTACAGGGCTCAGAAGGAAAGACAAAACAAGACCAGCGGCACCCCGTGCCAGTGCAGATAATCGCTTTCCGTTGCAGACAAGCCACCAGGTGATCTCTATTTCTTGAAGTAAAGGTTCTTGGTTTTAAAAGAGTCATTATTTTGAGACAATGATATAGTCTTAGAGACAGACTTCACACAGGCTCCCAGAATAGATAGTGTTCAACTGAGCAATAGCTACCGCCTAGAAAACAAAAACTGTGGTCTGTGAAGACATGCCACACAAAACAGGGTAAACAGATGACTCCTCTCCATGAAAAATTATTATAAATTGCATAGCAGTGTTATTTTCCCATATAATTAAGAAATAGTGAAAATAATGTATAAGGTGAAGAAAGAGCGATAAATGTAGAATCCAACATGGAGAAAAATCCATATTTTATTCATAATTTCTGTCAAAAATATTGTTTGTGATGATATGTGTGTATGAAAATATCATAAGGAAACCAATCGTTTTGTACATTTGCTTAAAAAAATAAACTATTTTAAAATGAATCTGCTGTATTTTTCTGAAATTCACATTCTCATCTGGTTTCTCACCCTAATAAAAATTCCTTTTACTAGCAAACCTACTTTCCTGGTCATACTCCTCAACAATGTCACTACCCACTAACCCTCCTGAAGGAGAAGCGTCACTGTCTCTGTCATTATGTTGAATAAATGCCACCTACAATCAGAAATACCTGTGATTGAGTTGATTACTTCTCTTTTGTGAATAACCCCTGCTGCTCTGGGTAATAAGCCAAAAGGGTAAATGTAAATCCAAAGAGAAACTGTGCTTAAACTACAGTTAGTTAAAACGAAGCCGAAAAGGTTTAGAAGCAAGAGACCATGATGGAAATAACTTCAACTATACAAAACGCATAAGCAGAAACAAACATGAGTGAGCCCACATATCTTCGCCTGAGATGATCTGGACAGCAAATTATTTAAAGGTTGCTCTCAATTTCTGAGCACACATCCTGCACAAAGGGCGGACAGAGTATCTGTCAGTCTGGAACTTTCTCTGTACTGATTTGTGCCTACAGGGTTTCTTTCTTTTTTTAAGGTATGTTAATTTTACTTATTGGCGAGGGAGAGAAATGTGTGTATGGCCTAGAGCACATGTGGAAGTCAGAGGACAATTTTCAGGAGTGGGAGTCTGGGGATCAAGCTCACGTCTTTCAGGCTTAGTGGCAGACACACTTACCTATTGAACTGTTTCATGGTCCATGTACTAGGTTTATTATGAAGAGCAAAGTAAATTAACATAAGCAGAATCTCCACCCTCTGAGCATCTTACAGGTATAACGTAGGGCAATTAGTATCCTACATAGGGCTTTTTAAATTTGGCTTGGTTTGGTTTTTTTTTTTTTTTGGTTTTTCGAGACAGGGTTTCTCTGTGTAGCTTTGCGCCTTTCCTGGAACTCACTTGGTAGTCCAGGCTGGCCTCGAACTCACAGAGATCCGCCTGGCTCTGCCTCCCGAGTGCTGGGATTAAAGGCGTGCGCCACCACCGCCCGGCTTGGTTTGGTTTTGGAGAGAAGGTCTCTCTATGTAGCCCAGGCTGACTCCCAATAAGTTTCTATGTAACAATATCCTCAGAGTCAACTTCTGAGATACTCACACAATGGAAATGTGTATTTTTCCTCCCAGAAAACATCAAAATTGGTCAATAGATGAAATTTTAATTCCCCACTGTTAATCTGAATGAGTAATAACATCCCTCCATGATATAGGTTATAATTTCCTTTCATTCCTAGAGTCCCTCTGTTTGCCTTGCTTCCTTGTTTCTCTCTACTCCAGTGTCTCTGTGGAGCTCTATTGCTTTAAAGGAAATTCCTCCCAGCCACAGAAATGATGACAATAACAATATCATCTTTACTGTGGCGTCATACCTGAAAGGGACTGAACCTTGATATCAACCAGTCATCTCTTCATGTTCAAATTGTTGCAGTCCTAGTGAGAAAGTTATAGACCACCATGCATACGGAGGCAAAAAGAGCCCTTGGTTAGCTAGTGACTGAGAGCAGGCTCTTGCCACAAAGAACACTTGACATTGATAGTCATCAAGGGTACAGAGTATATAAAGGCATACTGTACAAAACCCACAATGACATCACTGTCAGGTATAGGTCAGGGGAACGTGGTAGCGTTTGTTTGGGCCAAACACATTAATTGTTTTGGTTATGCATCTGGTTATACATTTCATTATACACGGTCAGGGTCATGGAACATCTCAAATGTGTTGCCAACGTGGGTGTTACTGTTTAGGGGATAAGGGACTTGAAAAAGTACACAAGCAGACACAAAATGGAGTCAGGGTAAAATCAGGACAAGATGGTGTTACCTCGGTCACTTTGCAAATGAAGATCCTGACGGAACATTCAATCATGAGGTATATAAAGAAAATAAAATCATTATCTGAAAGAGATGTCTTAACTTTCCCATTATTGCTGTATGGTTTATAGCAGCTAAAGTATGAAACCAATATACCCATTCACACCACACACACATATACCCATATACCTACACACACCATATATATAGATATATAGATACACGAATACATAGATAAATACATGGTACATAGATAGGTCCATAGATACGTAGACAAATGTAAAAAATTAACATTTTTCAAAGGGTACAAAATTACAATAAAATAAGAGGAACAAGTTCCAGAAGTCTATCACAGCTTGGCAGCTGCAGTTAATGACAATAAGTACAAACAAATGAAAGCCCCGAGGTCCACAGGTGTCCATGTCCATCCCAAACAGTAAAGGAGGAGCCAAAGCTCAGATTCCTAATTCCTTTAGGGCTGTTTTCTCTGGAGTGTTTGGCCCAAGAGAAAAGAAATGACAAGCTTTGGGTCCAGGGAAGACAAGCACATTAATACAAGACAAAAATAATATGAATTATACTGTGGGATGGTCTGTATGTCAAATGTGTTGCTGATTGGTCAATAAATAAATCACTGATTGGCCATTGGCTAGGCAGGAAGTATAGGCGGGACAAGGAGGAGAATAGAGCTGGGAAGTGGAAGGCTGAGGGGGAGACACTGCCAGCCGCCATCAGGACAAGGAAGATGTAAAGTACCGGTAAGCCACAAGCCACGTGGCAAGGTATAGATTAATAGAAATGGATTAATTTAAGCTGTAAGAACAGTTAGCAAGAAGCCTGCCATGGCCATACAGTTTGTAACCAATATAAGTCTCTGTGTTTACTTGATCGGGTTTGAGCGGCTTGGGACTGGCGGGTGAGAGAGATTTGTCCTGACTGTGGGCCAGGCAGGAAAACTCCAGCTACAAATGGCGCCCAACGTGGGGCAAGAGTTTCCACCTAAAACCTGAGAAAAAAGATTCTAAAACGGAGCTAAAAACAGTTCCTAATTGTCTCTCTCAAATGAGCGGCAGGCAGCTGCCGGTTTGAGCTACTGGCGGGTTGCTGGCGTGCACGCTCGACCTGCAGTATGGCGGGAATGAAGTCTCTGCAAATGGCACATTAAGCTGCATTGTGGATTTAGCCTTTGCTAGTACAAAACAAAAAAAGAGGTTTCTGAGCTACATGCTGCTTGGATAAAAGCATAGACCCATGATAGCTCCCAGAGCTGGCGGTAAGCATACTGCCGCCATGTTGGGAAGCTGAGGTGGACGGAGCCAGCAGCCACAGCTGCTACAGCTTAAAGCAATAGATTCACAATAAGACAGATTCAGATGTAATAGTTTAAAATGTGTGTAAAATATATGTAGTCTTAAAAGAGACAAAAAAAGGTGATATATACAGTATAGAAACAAATACATGGTTTTAAAAAAAATAAAGTCTTTAAAGAAACAGTAAAATTAATATAAAAAATAAGCCACGTAGAGATGACTATTACACAGAGAGTCTGGATTGTATTGTCTTTGGGATTCTTAACTACAGAGAGATATTTGATTGTAAAGAAAGCTGAGTTAAACCAGTATGTATATTTTAAAGATACTTTGACTTCAAAATTTAGAGGTAAGGATATGTTGCTTTGGAAAAGAGTCTCTTTTGTTTCCACTGAAAGCAAGAGGCTATGGATTTGTTCCAGAGTAAGATACATCAGGTTTGACCAGCCAAGACCCCCTGAAAGGTCTCCGATGACACCATGGCCCAGATGATCCAACATCCAGAACCGTTTCAAGACAACTGGCTCAGATGATACAGCCTCACGGACTACTCCATGATCCTAAAATTTTCTTTGTTTCCCCAGAAGATACAGCGCCCCCCTCCAGCAGGAAATAGTAAGAGAAACTACGCCCAAATTCCCAAATATACCAAGCTGACTTTGGAGATGTGTAAAGGTTAAAACCTTCCTTTTTAAGAAAAGAAAAGGGGAAGTACTGTGGGATGGTCTGTATGTCAAATGTGTTGCTGATTGGTCAATAAATAAATCACTGATTGGCCATTGGCTAGGCAGGAAGTATAGGCGGGACAAGGAGGAGAATAGAGCTGGGAAGTGGAAGGCTGAGGGGGAGACACTGCCAGCCGCCATCAGGACAAGGAAGATGTAAAGTACTGGTAAGCCACAAGCCACGTGGCAAGGTATAGATTAATAGAAATGGATTAATTTAAGCTGTAAGAACAGTTAGCAAGAAGCCTGCCACGGCCATACAGTTTGTAACCAATATAAGTCTCTGTGTTTACTTGATCGGGTTTGAGCGGCTTGGGACTGGCGGGTGAGAGAGATTTGTCCTGACTGTGGGCCAGGCAGGAAAACTCCAGCTACAAATTATGTGTTGAGTATTATTTATAATTTAGAAAGACCCTGTAGTGAGAGGCACATGAATAAAGTTTCTGTGCCAACTTTGAAACATATACCGTGTTTTGTATTAATAACATAATGGGGGCCACATGTTATTTGGCTAAAAACTCAATACAATTCATCTTCTATATCCATGGATTCCACATTCATGGGTTTAACTGGCTGCAAATGGAAATTGTATCTGTATTGAACTCATATAGACATTTTTCTTATCATTATTCTCTTAAAATATATAGCAACTCTTTGCCAAGCTATCTACTGTGTCAGGCACTGCATGGAACAGAAAGATGGTTTAAAGTATACACAAGAAGCTGGACACTATGGCACATGCCTGTGATCCCAACTCTCTGAAGGCTGAGACAAGAGGATGGCACGTTCTTTGCCAGCCTGGACTATCTACCAAGACCCTGTCTCAAAATAACAATGACAGTGACAATATATGAAAGTATGTATTTGAGTTACACCAAACACCCCATCATTTTACAAGAAAGACTTGAGTATTTTCAGATCTTAGTATCCTTGGGAAGTTTTGGAACAAATCCTTTTTGGATACCAAGAAATGTAACAACTGTATTTCTCGCTAACATTTTCCCCATGTTGCATCATTTAAGTGTCTCCACAATCAAACCTGGAAAACTCCTTTATACTCACCAATCAATTACTAACTTCAGGTATTAAAATGTCCAATTATAAAGTTTACACTTGATTCTCTTACACTGGTAGTTCTTTGCCAAAAATTTTAATCTTGTCTTTTGATTCTTTAAGAATGTTCAGTATGACATTTCAAAATAAATGTTGTGCTGGTGCATTATCCAGATTCATGGACGTCTATCCTCAGGGAATGTTATTTATTTGGGGTTTGGGCTTTACTGTCTGATTTCTGGTTTTGTGTGAATGCTGGGCATTGAATATGAAGAACTTTAGAACTAATTTTAAACTTTTAAATGGCATCCTCTTTCTCTAAGTCTGATGTCCTCTTGTTTCTAGCAGTAGCTAGGCCTGAGGTACCAGTCTGCTAAAGTCCCTGAAAGCCAATGATAGATGTGGTGTGCAGAGCTGGAGTTGAGTCTCTCTAAGACCTTCATATGGTTGGAAATGGTAGTCATCTCAGGCTTGAATTATTGTCTTCCTTCTGATCTTTGTATCACAGTAACTTACCACATTGACATTGTTCCAGAGTAGAACCAAAATAATTGTGAGAATCTTCCAGATGCCCATAATTTCGTGTGCAGTCATGCATTGCTTAATGATGAGGATGTATTCTGGAAAGGCATCATTAGGAGTGTGTTAGAGAATGTGTCATCAGGAGATTTCATCATTTAAGCATACTTTCACAAGCTAAGGCAGCTATGACACTATTATATAATCTTATGGGACCATTGCCATGCATGCGGCCTGTCATTGACTTAAACATCATTATATGACCCATGACTGCACTTAAATATTAGCACCATATGCCTAAGTATACATGACTTCTTACTTGGAGAGATTTAAAGCTATTTCTCTGAACATTATGAGCCATGGAGCCATGCAGCCAAAAGGCTCATTTTATAAAGGTCATAGTTTTCCTATTTTTTTCCTAATAGTTTTCAACAATATTACATCTAAGACTTTTTAAGGTAGCCTTGTCCACAGGGGACCTCCTAAGATCTGTTCATTTGCTAGCCTGACTTTGTCTCCACTGCCCGCCATGCTCTTCTCTCTTGGCCAACTCTTAGCTGCAATTCTGTTAAGGTGGCATAGAGAACCCAGACAAGGCTCATTCCCTGGGTCTTTTAGGATGCAATTACCATGATACAGTTATCATTCTCAAACGTAACCGCATTTTGTCCTTCACTACAGGCTTTCTACAGGAAGGTCAAAGAGCAAATCCTAAAGTACAAATCAGAAGGCAGACAACATGCTTCCTTCCACTCTTAGGAAAATAACAACACAGAAGTAACAATTAACGACATCTCACCGCATTGGTGACACAAGACAGACCTCCAGGCTTTCTTTCTAGAAAGTCTAAGAAGGTAGTTTTTGGTTCTTTGATTCTGAGAGAAACAATCAGGAAGTTGACTGGATATGCACATCTCTCTTTTTCAGCTTTCTTTTTTTTTTTTTGTCTCTTTGTGCCAGTTACTCTGGTGACTGTGACTTGTCCTTTTTTTTTTTTTTTTTTTTAGGCATGAGCAGAAACAGTGCACCCTTTCACTTTGTGGCTTGCTAAACAGTATCTGCATGAGGCCAAAAGGTAGAAATTGGTACCGGAGCAGGATGCAGACACTGTCACAGAGCACCAAGGGAAGAACGGCTTGGTGGAACAATGAATTGCTGTCTTTAAAACATCTTTGTGCTCTCAGAACTTGCCCAAGCAAAAGAGTAAGCATAGTTTTCCCAGGCTGTTGTAGCCAAACCTGTGCTGCTTTTTAAATCAAGCCATGGTTGGCACCTACCTCTGAGCAATGTGGAACTTACTGTAAAGGGCCCCATGTTTAGTTCATAAGGCTAGCCCTCTCTGAATGTGCATTTCAGGGGTGTGTCTGCAGAAGACTGGCTGCTGAGTCACTGCAGTCCGCACACTCTGAGCAATCGGCATAGGCTTGCTGGGGAGATGACAGCATCCCTCTTTGTGGCGGTACTCGGGGATGAGTAAACACTAAGATCTTGTTGTAGTTACAAATAAAAAGAAATGATCTCCATTTCTTCTTCTCCTTGAAGGTGTGTGTAAAAGGAGATTAAGTCCTTGCCCCCACCCTGGTAAAGACACACACACACACACACACACACACACACACACACACACACACACACACTTAAGGAGGCTCAGTGGAGCTTCCCTCTTCAGCTCTAAGAAGGAAAATCTAGCAGTTGCTAGACAACGTTCATTGCCAAGGAAACTTAAAGGTGAAGCGTGTGAAAATCTGCCTTTGCTAATGATTGTGTGTGACTCTCAGTTTGCTCACTCCAATCAGAGGATGGCCATTAGCCTTGTGACCCTCTTCAATGATTTCGTGTAATTTTCTATGATACTTAAATGACAATGATATGTTTAAAAAAAAATTACAGAACCTGTGTGGGATTTCCTGTTCAGAGGGTCATATACCCTCTCCCACATCATCTTGTCACTCATTACTTAGGTCTGCCAGAGCACGTGGATATCAACTTTTCCTTATACTCCAATAGAGCATCACTTGTTTCCTCTCTCAGGTTGTCTCAGTTCCTGCTCGCGAAAGCATTTTCAGTTCCCTCCTGTGTCCCTTTGACATCTTCACATCAGGGTCGAGACGATGTTCTTTGGTTGGCAGTTGCCGGGAGTACCTCTACATCCGGTAAGATGCTACAGAATCATCCTGTGCATTTCTGGCCTCAGTCCTAAAATTGACCATTTCTCCAAATAGTGTCGGTTCTTCTTACTGGACAATGATATCAGAAATCAAGGAAATACATCTAAGAATTGCATACACTTATCCACTAATACTGCCACATGTGTTTCGTCTGTGTCTGTTTTAAACCAACCACGACTACATCGTGCTGTCTCCAACTCTAACCTAGTTCCACCAGTATTGATCTAGTGTTTGCCTTTTTGTGGTCCATAACCTTCCACTCCGGTAGTGAAAACTGGCTTTTAATATTCCCCCAGCGGTTTGATTACTTATCCAGTTCCAATATATGTGTAAAATGGCCTCAAAATCAAGCTGCACTCCTAAGGGGTCTAATTACATCCACAGGGGTACAGTACTCCCTTGTCCTTTTAATCTTCTATTTTACACATATATCCACGGTTATTAGATTATTAGGTTATTAGACTTTCCCCCTACCCCTTTCCATAAAATTTTACAATGCATTTAGAGCATATTTCATAGCCTAGGCTCCATCCTGAGATGCCGAAATTCTTTTAGTGATTTAAAAAACAAAACAAACCCAAAATCTGTGTACATTAAGGTTTACAAAAATCGTGTGTGTGTGTGTGTGTGTGTGTGTGTGTGTGTGCGTGTGCGTGTGTGTATGCGCGTGCACGCGCGCGCGCTGTAAGGTTCTACACTCTGCTCAAGGAACTATAGGGAAACTCCTTTTAGAAAGCACAGCACATAGGGACTTGCTTCCAGAGTATAGTATGAAAGAAGCGGGAAGAAGAGTAACTTTACGGTAGAGAAAGCAGGCAATTGATGGAGGCATCTGTCATGTTTGACTTAATATAGATGCAAAGAAATACATATAGGCAAACACTGCCTCATCCAGGAGATGGAGGATCAGCACCCCAGCTGGGTCATACTGATAACAAGGAAGTTGCTATGGTGACAACTCTGTACCCTGCTCTCTGTCTCCCAAACCCTAACCCCAAAATAACCAGAAGAAAAGCACTACTCAAGAATCGTTCCCCGCCTCTCCCTGAGTGCCCACAAGGAACTTTCTACAGTATACCTGACAGGTATTTTTTTTTAATTGTCAAAGTTTCCAAAAACTAACAACCAAAAGATGCTAGCAAATTCTGAGAAATGATCCCAGTCTAAAGGAGCCAAAGGAGACAAGATCACTAAATGTAAAGTAGCATCCTGAAGAAGACCCTGGAATAGAAAAGGGACAATAAGTTAAAATGCTCGTGCATCTGGATACAGGCTAGACATGTGTTAACACTGTGATCAGTGTAACATGCTAGGAACAAGAGGAAAACCTGGACATGTGATCCATGGGGACTTCTATTGTTCTTACTTCTCTGTAAGTTTAAAGGTTCTCTAGAATAGTTCATTTTTTAAAAAATAAAAATAAAACTGAAAAAATGGATTTGATGCTTGAAGGAAAAAAAAACTGGCAAACTTAAAAAGAAATTGGGGATTTTGCTCCATTTGAATTCTAAGACATATTTTTCCTATTAAGATATCTTGTAGGGACTTTTGACTTTTTTTTTTTGTTTTTAATTTAAAAGTAGGGCACTTCCTAAGAATCTAGCAAGCAGAAAGGGCCCAGAGGAGCTGTCTTTAACTGTGTGTGTAGACTGGTTTTTTTACATCAAGGATGGGATAATGGCCCAAAAACCTTATTTTAAAGGTTATTGAGTATTCATGCAGCTGAAAACTGTTACATTCTGGAATACAGTCTGGGTTTCCTAACCAGTAACTGAAGTATGAGTTCACACCTATTTGTCTGGTTTTTGTTGTTTGTTTGTTTGTTTTTAATCTCTTTGGAATGTATTAGCCATAGCTGAAGGGGAAAAAAATCTGTGGATTGTGTTCAAAACCTCGACAGACGATTTCATTATTATGATTTTGTATGATGTGTTATATACATACATAAAACATAAAACATGTGTGTAGATATTGCATAAAATTTATGATTGGAACCATTTGCAACAGCATGAAGTACATTTACAAGTGAACAGCCATCCATATAGAAAGCATAGCCATTCACCTCTTGTTCATGTACTGACAGATGGAAGTATTGTTTCTCATTTTTGACTACCCTACCTGTTAGGTTTCCTAGGGGTGATTGTTTTTTTAAGAAGAGAAAAATACATTGAACTTCCCTGGAGTTCATACTTGAGTTTACTACAATTAGCCTCGGTGCCTGTCATTCAGCGTTGAGTGATAAGCAAGCGTATTAGAAATGAGTCAGGGAACTTAGTGGCCCTGGAGGTCCCGGATCTCCCAGAGAGGTATGCTTCGGTTTGTTGTTGTTGTTTGGTTTGGTTTGGTTTTTTGTTTGCTTGTTTTTGTTTTGTTTGTGTTTGCACAACTCTTTCAAATGTTATCCTCATGTCTTCTTTCCTTCTTCTTCTTCTTCTTCTTCTTCTTCTTCTTCTTCTTCTTCTTCTTCTTCTTCTTCTTCTTCTTCTTCCTCCTCTTCCTCCTCCTCCTCCTCCTTCTCCTTCTCCTTCTCCTTCTCCTTCTCCTCCTCCTCCTCCTCCTTCTCCTTCTCCTTCTCCTCCTTCTCTTTCTCCTCCTTCTTCTTCCTCCTCTTCTTCTTCCTCCTCTTCCTCCTCCTCCTCCTCTTCTTCTTCCACCTATCATTAGGATTTTGCTCTCACTAATGAATTCTGATAATTGATATGTCAAATGACTTACGTTCACAATGCATGCCAATCACTATCACAGTGCATGAGTTCTGCTAGCTGACATAATTAACCAAGCTGTATATGATAGGAATATAAGTTTGAGGAGTTGTGATTGGTGAACTTTCCTTATTGCTGTGGTTAAAAAGCAACTTAAGGGAAAAGGGGCTTGTAATGGGAATTCGCTCTGCCCATGACCTTAGGCTATCTGGCCTGATAGGTGCTTCTTGTCTGCCTACATGACCTCTTAAAATGGGAAGGGGAGGGGGTCACGAGCAGGAAGCCCACGGTGTTTTGGCAACCTGGTCTGGAGCTTTCCTCATCTTTCCCTGGGAGACGAAGAGGCAACAGCCTCGCTTCATTTTGTATCAGTGAGTCTGTTTTCCCCATAGAACCCCTCAATAAATTGATATATAGAGAGATCACTGAGGCTCTCGTTACAGGGGCTTGGTTTGGCTTATGATTCTAGGCGATACCGTCCATCATGGTGTGGAAGGCATGGCGGCAGGAGAATTGACGATGCTGGTCACATTGCATATGCAATCAGGAAGCCAAGAGCCAACAGGGAATGGGGTCCTCTTTAAAACTTCCAGCCCTACTCCCAGTAACTGACTTCCTCCAGCAAGGCCACACCTCCTAACCTCCCCAAACAGCACAAGAGCTGAGAACTAGCATCCAAACACATGAGCCTATGAGACACCTCACATTCAAACCACAACAGTAAGTATGGTAGCTCCATTTCCTCCCCTCAAGGGCTAAGCTAGATTCTCTCCCTTACATGGAATTTCTTTTCTTTTGATTTTTTTTAATTTTATGAACTTTATCATTTAAAAAAATTGTAAATAAATAAAAACATCACACACAAAATTGACCAGACCCAAAGTGTACGTAACTCAACAAATTTCTATACAGCTAGAATAGACATTAGGGACTCAAGTTGTGGAATACCACACTAAATTTTGTACATTCGGTAATGGATGTACTTTATGCACTTATTCACCAACCAGAAAAGCTACAAAGAAAAACCCTGTCTTGAAAAAAAAAACCAAAACAAAAAAAAAATGACCAAGTTAGAACTAGAAAAAATTCTTAGCTTGTTATCTTCTTGCATAACTATGTCCATCACCTGCATTCAGTCTTCTTCATTCCCTTATATTTATCCTCTCTTGTTCTCTTTGCTTAATGTTTACTGTACCCATACTCTTCTCTCTCATATTTAGAATCTAGCCAAGAATATATGTATCTATGCGAACAAGTATACATATGGTCATATGTAAGATACTACTTTTCATTTGATCACCTAAGATAAGTCCCAAGGAATCACTCTTGCCTTCTTGCTTTTCCACACCAGTCTGAGTCCCACATGTTTTGACTGTGTAAATGTTTTCCAGAATGTCAGCTTCTCTCTACTCCTCTACTCCTGCCTTCGTAGCCATAACAGAACCCTTATCATTCCTTGCAATAATTAGTAATTCCTGTGGTTTCCTCTTCTTTCTCCTTGTTGATATGCTACAGTGGGAACTATGAATCACAAACACATAACACACAAACATCTTTGGAAGGGCACCTGGATTTTCATGTCATTCGGGACCTGGTGTTCAGTGGTGGAACAGCCAACCATGACACCAACCATCATCCACTCTCCTAACTGACATTGTTCAAGTCTCAGGAAAACACGTTTCCGAATCTCTTCTGTTAGGTCCCCTGAGCAAAAGGCAATTCTCTGCATGG